CGTTAATTAGCGGCGCTTTCGGTTCCTCCTTTTCCCCCTTGCTACCGCCGGTGGATTCCGCGCGGTCTGGTTGCGAGCTTCCCTGCAGCCCCGTGCTTCCCTGAAACCTCGTGCTGACCGAACCTGACAGTATGCACTGGAACAGCCAACTCTAGCCTGATGGTCACCAGATATATTGGACTGCAACTCTGCCCATCCCTATGTCTGTAACCATGATAGCTTTGAACACTAGACCTTCACAAGCATATAGTCTACCTATATCTGATCTAAATTATATACACTTGATATAAGATAGTCTTTCTCTTTCCCCTCTCCTTTATTAGTTTTATTTGGAGGCTAGACCCCTACCCTGCACAGATGAAACTAACGTTTGAATTGATCTGGTCTTTAGTTCTTTAAGAGTATGATTAGATTGTTAGCAAAATTTGAGAGTTCCTGACTCTCCCCAATTAGGATTCAAGATAAGTTTCAAGATAGGTTTCAGGATGGGTTTCAAGATAAGTCTGAGGAGTGAACAGATAATGAAAGGTTCAAGTTATATTAGAGTAATATAGGAAAGATTAAAATGAGATTGGTTTGAAAATGAGTCAGCCTTAATCTGTTTTAGCAATCAAGAAATAAGATGTTTTGTCTTTACTGATTTGGACAGGATTTATTTAAACTATGTTATTTCTTGGATTTTATTTTTATGTATTTTTATAATTGCTAAAAATACTCTAAAAAGATAATAGTTTTGCAGGTTTCTAAAGAACTAAATTGGCTTATTTTTATGTAGATATTAGAAAATACTCCTGAAAATCACCCTGATCATAGCCACCTGAAACATGCTTTAGAGAAAGCAGAAGAATTATGTTCGCAAGTGAATGAAGGTGTACGTGAGAAAGAAAATTCAGACAGATTAGAATGGATACAGGCTCATGTTCAATGTGAAGGATTATCAGAGGTAAAGCTTAAATATATACAATCAAATTGTATTTTACTGTTTTTTTAAAGATAGCTAATGAAATAATGCTGATAACTGTATTTAGTTAGAAAGATACTAGTAAGTTTTTTTTTCAAATTTTATCCTGCTCTTCATTGGACATAACTTCTGCCAGCGTCAATTTTCTGTGTTTCCTTTCTCTTTGACCTCCTTTATTAAGTCACAATATGTTGTTGACTCTTCTTGTGACAAAATGAAGTCTGTAGTTTTTATTGAGTCAGCTAAGTTTCTTTCATACCAGCAAACATTCCACTAGAAAAATCAACTGTTTTCTATATCAATAATGCTGAAAAAGGCCATGTTTCTTCAAATCAAAGGTATAGGTTAAGATTGTTGTTATTAATTACTGGGTTTATACATCACAGTAAGCCATAATATTCTTTGGTTTTAGCTTAGTGTGTAGTGCAAACCCAGCCATTCTGCTTTATAAACTGTGATTTATGCTTAGAACAATGCATAAGTTCTGCCACTGTAGGTTAGCACGATGTGAATCTAGACATTCTGTGTTCACATGTCACCTAACCATGGTTTAGCATAAATGAAGAAGCAGTGTGCCTCAGGCTATGTATTCCCATTCCTCCTCCCAACTCATATGGTCAGATAGAAACATTCAGATTTTTCTGTCCCTTTCCCTTGTTTGGTTGTCATCTTGAGCCACAAACTATGATTAATTTTAACTGTGGATAGTTTAAAACAAGTCATCTTCAAATGCTAGTTTCTGAAGCTGTCTTCTTTAGATTAAGCACAGTTAATATTAACTACAGGTCCAGTTTGAGAAGCAAAGCTGTACTAAAAAACAAGTGGAAGGAACAACTTGCCAATTTCAATTCTTGGCTGCTGGCACTTACTGGCATTTATTATACTAATCCATATCTTAATGTGATGGTAAATGTGGCCAGTGTTGTCAACAGACAGAAAGTATTCAAGTGGTAGCAAAACTAATTCAGTGTATTATAAACCCATTCTGGCAATCTACTGCCACCAGTTTATTTTTACACATCCTTCAGTTCTTTAAACTTCCCTTCTTTCAAATCTGATTGAAGGGCACAAACCTAAAGGAGTAATTCCAGCAATAGCCCTTATTTTCCAGCCACACCACCAAGTGATGACATTACGCTGTTGGGTTAAGGCATTTACCCTGAACAGAAGCTGATATCATAAGTTCAGTTACACACAACAATGTCACGACTGGTATATTTTTATACATCTCACTGCTGCTGGGTTTGTGTGTGTGTATGTTTTGTTCCCCCTCAGCAACTTGTTTTTAATTCTGTTACAAACTGCTTGGGGCCACGCAAATTTCTGCACAGTGGGAAACTCTACAAGGCCAAGAGCAACAAGGAATTGTATGGTTTTCTGTTCAACGACTTCCTCCTGCTGACACAGATCATAAAACCTCTTGGTTCATCTGGCACAGACAAGGTTTTCAGCCCCAAGTCTAATCTGCAGTATAAAATGTACAAAACCGTAAGTATCACTTTTAAAGTGGAAATACTGATTTTTAATTAAAATATCCTTTTTTCATATAAAAGCATGAAGGCCCCCAACCTCTTGAGACCAGTAGGCATCTTTGGAATTTTGAGAACATATTTTGGATGTTTTCATAAAATGCTTCCATGCCCATTCCAAAATGGTTGCTATGGTTGCCTAAAAGCAAATCAGTGAGGAGGTTTTCATCAGGGAACTAGGGAGCCAGCAAGGTGGCTTCCTGTGTGTAGAATGCTGGTCCATTCTCCCACGGTCCTATTTATATCTGTGTTTAAACTGTTTTTAAATTATTTTAAATTTTTAATTGTTGAATTGTTGTATTATACTGTTGTTTTATAATTGTTTTACCTGATTTTTTTATTGCATGCCACCTAGAGTCACATCTGTGAGATAGCCAGCTATATAAATTAAATAAATAAATAAATCTCCTCTAGTGTTCATCCCATCCCCAGATGCCCCATGCCATCTCCTAGTTGATCTTGGACTTTGCTTCAAAATAAAGCACTGGGTGTCAGGCTCTCGAGGTCAAACTCAACAGAAGTTAGCCAAACACTGGATGCAACATGGTTAGATAAGATCTTTGATGCATACTTGAAAGACTCCACTTTGAGCAGTTGAATGCCCTCTATCAATACGACTGTGTAGCTGTCTCTTATACCCTCGGCAGTTTAAATCCAGCCCTTCTTGTTCCTGCTTTGCCCATGGTATAATAACATCTTGTACTGTGTTTCTCAGGCCTGGTGCTAGACAGCAGTTGACTGCTGACATAATGAGTATTCCTTGTTTGGAAAACTAGTCCTTAACTTAATTCCCACAGTGGGCTGAAGTTATCCGCTGTTCTTATTTTTTAATAAAGCATAGGGGACAGTGTCAAAATCAGAGGGATTCCTGGGAAGAAAGAGGATGTTAACAATACATAGGCATTTTTCTTTGGAGTGTGTAAGCTTATTTTAAATAAGTGATGATGTCAGGTGGACATGATCAACAAAAGAAATGTTTTCATCACATCATTGTCCTTGGACACTTTTAAGAACCTTCATGTAGTCCATCAGATAGTTCTAATTGGGCTGCTTCACATTCAAAAAATCTTGCATGGATGACTCTAATATAGTAAAATAACTATCTATTAAACTGTAATAAAACTAAACATATTTGTTTTGCTGAGTGCACACACAGCAGATCTTTCCAATCACCATAATTCTTTCTTATATCAGTTCAGGTTTTCCTGTGCTTATGAAAACACAGCCATAATTATACCTTTCACATACAAGAGAAAGGCAACAACTTGACATAGAAATTAAACTGCATCAGTAGAAAATAGTGGGCAGCAAGTAGAACTTTCAATAAATTAATGCAGTATGGAATATTGTAGCTAGCCAATTATAATCCTTTGTTTTCTGTCTCTCCCTTCTGCTCACCCTTCTCCCCCAAAATTACATATTTTATAGTCACTGAGCATTCTTAGTCCTTGTTAGCCTAATGTTGGCAGTTTGGGGGTTAATTGCAACCCTTAATGTTCCCAAAGCACCCTGATTGTTCTTATCTGTTTCTTGGGACCAAGCTAGATGTGTTTCTAAACACATAATTAAAAATGTATCAGATATTTTTACAAAACTAATTAGAGATGCAGGGAAGCAAATTCTATTATGGCCTGAAGGGATGCTTAATGCTTGCTTTCTCTTCTGTGATATTAGCAAAAATCTTCCTCTCTTCCTTGTCCCAGAACTGATTGAGCCTTGGGGGGGAAAATCAATGTATGAAATGGTTCTGGTTAAAAATGGTGTAGCTTAGCTGGCTTTAAATATTATTATATTTTAAAATGGACATGGTTTGGGATTATGTATTCAGCTTAGTCCTCATGGCTACAAACACGTCAGCATTCACCAGCTGTTCGGAGGAATGATGGAAATATGCTTGTGCTCAATTTCTGATTCCTCAAAAACACATCTCTAATGTCTTAGTGATTGTCTATAAATGTACTTTTTAGGCTTGAGTAGTTACACAAAAAGTAATGTCTTCATCCTTCCTTTTTGGTCTAGTTTGTGTTTGTATGTATGTGTGCGTGCGCGCACGTTGTTTACCCCAGAAGCAGAGATGGAACAAAAACATACAGTATCCTCAATAGTTCTCATGTAGTCTAACTCTGGCAATTCTTTATGTTTTCCCACAAGCTGTGGATTTTTGATATTAGTGAATTAATTGAAGCAATTAAGTCAAGCTTTGGACAAATTATTCACTATAGTTTAAAAGCATCACAATTACTATTAACATGCAATAAAAATGGCAAAACATTTTCTGCTATAGATCTGCCTTGATATCTCTTCCTGTTTTCAGATAAATCAGCTAAACCAAATCAGTATTTTCCACTTATACATTTAGTATAGTGATCATTCCTGGTGGTGACTGTAAACTCCCAATAGAATTAAATAGCTATTTATAAATTGAAGATACGGAGGGCACACAAAACAAAGAATGTATATTTGTGATATACCATATTTTTCCATGAATAAGACGCCCCCATGTATAAGACGACCTCCACTTTTCCAACCCAAAATTAAGAAATCAAT